GGATCCTCTCCAGATAGTTTTGATATATTGATCTATGCATACCACTTGAAAATGTTCCCTTTATATTAGAACATATATGATAAAGCTAGTGTATATAGATACATTTAAAAGAAACTGCAGTCCTTGCTATAAAAAAAAAAATACCATATTGACATCTCTGAGAGGTATTTATACAATTGGTGGACAAAAGTATTCAGACACGTGAAATTTTAACCCTTTTTCAGCCATTCCGAATTTGCACCATCGACTCCTTCATAATATTTTTATAAAAAAAAACCCTCCAGGTAAACTATGATTATATACTACAATATATTTACATTAATATTTAGTAGGGCCTCCCTTCATATCTATCACTAACTGAACACGTTTTGGCATTGACTTCACTAAAGTGCGTAGATTGTTTGTTTTACGCAAATTATTCCATTCCTCTTGTAATACTGGGTTGAAGTTCACTTGAATCAGGTTGGAGTTCACTTGAATTAAGTTTGCTTGAATCAAGTTCGCTTGAATTAGGTTCACTTGAATCGTGTGAGTTGGGTTTGCATAAATCGGGTTCACTTGAATTGGGTTTATGATGCACAGATGGCACAGTATAGGGGCGTCGATAGTGGCTATTTCCACTACGCAGTTGTCGAATTTTATTATTTTGGTTCATGTTTATTGACAATGAAGATGATGAAGTTTACAATTTACAATTGATCGGTCTGTCAATGGGTTATATTAAATTATCTAATTGAGACTATTCCGCAGACACCAACTAAATTAGGTTTTGTCCATGTACTTACATCATTCAATTTGGGTGTGCTGCTTGGATTCTAACATCCCACACGCAACGCTGTGACACACGACATGCAACACTACAACAGGATGAATACTAACGTTGATATATTTATTTCAATCATCATCTAATGTATTACTCTATAGTGAGATTGTGGTCGAATGGCCAAGAGGCATAATAACGGTGAACGATTTTCGCCGCCTGGACAAAAGCGAAAAATATATAAAGATTGACGTCACTTCTGACCACAAGAAGAGGAAACTTTTGTCAAAGTTGAAGTATCCACCGCCGGTCGCGCCGCCCTCTTCTGAGCCGAGCAACCCTTTTTCAAGCGACTATTTTTTGAGCGGCCCTCTTTCGATTGACCCTTTTTCGATTGACCCTTTTTCGAGCGACACTTTTTCGGCAATCAAAAAAGTAGCAGACGCAGAAGAACAAGCCAGGATTAATAATGTGATCAAGAAGATGGAAGAGCAACACGAAAAAGAGCAGGAAACGCGAAACAAGAAGATGATTGAAAAACTGAAAAGTCGAAACAGGAAGATAATCGAGCGGATGGAAGAGACGATCAAGCAGATGGAAAAGGAAAAAAAGGCTGACAGAAGACGAAAGCAGGCAGATGATCGAACATTTCGAAGAAGAACAGCAACAGTCGGTCAATAAGCTTGCCGAGCTTCATCAAGAATTAGGTTTAAAGCTCGAGAATGCAGCGAAAACTTACGTAATCTCGATCAACGATTAACGGAGGCAAACTCAATATCCCGGAGTATATGCTTTCGCATATTAGTTTTGGAGGTCATCAAAAAAGGCAGCTCTCGCGACTGGCACCGAAGAACCTACTTGGGGTCAAATTGCAGAAGTACTATCTAGACCTAATGGGGTAAGCTATCAAAATACTTTCTACTGTCCTTTATGCTGACATTTTCTACCACTTAAACTAATATTGAATTACACTAACATTGAATAATAGCTCTCTCGGAATTGTATTGATTATATGTACATGCTTAGAATGGATGGCAACGATACCGCCCATACACCCAATGTCAAGATGATTGAGAATTATATTTGTGGCGTTGGCGGGCTTCACCGTGGCTATCTGGAGGCCATGTTCAAATACACATATGGCAGACTACCAATACCAATGATGTATAAATGCAGTATTTTGAGCAACTACGCAGCTGCTATGACCGTCCATCGCCGTCGGGGCCATTCAGTCCAAACCCATACGGGAGGAAAGAGGTGGCAAGGTCAAAGAGCTTCTCTAAAGAAAAGAAAAAAAAACTTGTCATAAAAAAATAACTCATCAGATTGGCGTGAGACACATCGATGACGCGCGGTTCATGATCAAGGGGTGCAGAGGTCATTACTCTATGCATCAGCGACGCGCATTCCAGGAGGGGTTTTTTTTTTCTTTTCTTTTTTTTTCTTTTTTTTTTTTTTTTTTTTTTTTTCTTTTTTTTTTTTTTTTTTTTTCTTTTTTTTTTTCAACGTCTAAAACAGATAGTTAATTTTAGGATTGGATTATTATTATTATACACCCCCGACATGCACCAGCTACGTTGAGATTAGTGGCTTTTCCCGTTTCCCTTATTTATATTTTCAATACTAGCGTTCTGTAGAGCAAAATCCCATCACTCCACAAAGATTGGAAATTAAATAGCGATAATTCTGTCAACGTTCCTCTTGCCAGAGCGCCAGGCTTATATTAAGTCAATGTAGTATACCAATATCCAATAGAAAAAAAAAAAATTGCCTTCTGCCCGACCGATGATTGAACTTTCGTCAGTTCACGCGCTTTTTTGCTGACACGCTCATTCACTTGCACTCTCTTCTTTTGGGCCATCCTAAATCTTGCGCGGGGAATGCTCAGGGGTCTACAAACCGGTTTTGTCCATTTCCACTACTCTACAACTATTTTGCTATTCGTCGATGTGAACGTCAAATAAATGGCCGGGAGGTGAGAGACAACCGTGCAAAATGGCGAACTATATTGAAACACAACTGAGTTGAAACACAACTGATATCATGACATCATTGATATCTTGGGACGATCGGCGTCTTTTTTATCACTAACCTTACACAATGCAGACTTCAACTCTTCTAGCAACTCTAGCGATTTTGAGAAATGGCTGAACGCGTTCAAGTGGCTACGGAGCCTTACCGACGAGTGGATGGTCACCTTGAAGAAGGGGTTTGTGGATCCCTTCATGTATAACTGTTTAATTCATTAATATTTTATCGGCAACCTTTACAAGAAACAACGTTTAACGTTTGCTACTTACTTATTAGGTTCGAGCAAGTGATGATTCCATTTGGCCCAACGGGGAAGACCGTGACCCCCCCCTCGCTTTCCCCCGCTTCTCCTCACCTCGGTCTGGGACGTCATAGCCCTCTTATGGACGTTCCATATCAGTCGGCCATCGACCTCGGCATCGTTGACCGACCAGAAGACGTATCTTCAGAGGATGACGGAGAATTTGGCGACAAATATTCGAGAAATGACGACTCGTTCGGACCATCCAACGGCGGTCAACCTTACTTGCGAGGTCCAGAGTGGGAAGATCGTGAGCTTCTTTTTCGGGGTTTCGATTCGCTGCGGTGGGTGGCATGCAAACCAACAAGCGAAAGCGAGGGTGAGCAAGCTGAAGACCTTGCGGGCTGTCAAAACAAACAAACTCTCGAAGCTCTGCGGTCAACCCTGGGGAAATTGCGCCGAGTCGGTTCCCTGGGAGGCGCTGATTCCTTGGGGGACGCAACGACGCCCTGTAGTTTTGTACTCCCATGCAATCACCTTCAACAATCAGTCGTAAGCATTCTTTGCTATCCTATTGACGAGATGTGCTTTTTGTTTCGATCGATTCTTCTTCTAATATTAATTACTGGCAATATGTTCAGGCAACTGAGACGGAAGTTTCCGTGCAAGCAGTGCCAATACGTTGCCACCACACTGAAGAGCGTGGCCGAATTCCACTTCAAGTAGATACCATCGTGAACGATGATATCCGGCGCGAATTTGCGATCTCTGTTGGTAATAAGCTCTGTATAGAGGACGGTAGTGACATTTTCAGCGGAATGTATAGTGTCAGAGAATACGGGTTCAGTCACATCATCATCGTTGGAGAAGTCACCTACGGAATAGTATTTCTGGACTGTTACGGTCGTGTGTTTGCATGGGACTCGACGTGTGACGTCATGTGGCCGCTCGGGAATTCTTTGGAAGAGGCAAAGGCAAACCGCTTTATTGATTGTAAACTGGCATGGGAATTGGAAGAAGGAAATGTACGTGAAATAGGTACGTACGTGTACAAACATCAAAGATGATGGTGAGAATATATGGTTAATGTTTTTAATAGATTTTTGGAGCGATGGCGAAGAATGAAAAAGGAAATTGTTGGTATGTTCTCTATTCATTGGAAAAGTGCTTCGGGATTGAGATTTTGACTTGCTTACTGATACTTACCTCTTTTCCCCAGCTAAATTCAAATCGAAAACAGTCGCTACTAGTGGTGAAATTAAGGACGGTGTGCTGTGCGTTATCTGGTGTGCGCGCGACAGCTTTTCGATTTGGTGGGCTATGGAATTTGGTGGGCTGTGTGCTCCGAACGGTTCGGATTGATCTCATGTAATATCATACAAAATTTGCATATTGAAAGCTACCATTTACATATAGAAAGCTATACTAGCATTTACACTTTATTAGAGCATTCCCACTGCTGTGATTGATTTTTGCTAGATTTAGAGCGCCACTGAAATTAATTTAGAGTAAAATCCCCTCCATCTGGAAGTTCGGACCGCGATCCCTTCTGTTTTCTCGACGTGGGAGTACTGACGTCGGTGAGTTGGGGACGAGTCGTGACATCATTGAGCATCATCGAATGAAACTTCCCCTTCCCAGCGACACGATTAGAAAGGGCATACTGTACACCGAGGATGATGTGAATGATGTGGATGAGCCGAAGATGATATTAGATGAGCAGATTGCCAATTCTATCAAAAAATTGGTCCATCTTGACATGATTGGCTAGTCGCTACCTTTTTTTTTTTTTTTTTTTTTTTTTTTTCAATTTCTTTTCTCTTTTGCAAATATTTTTACTCCCTCTCTTTCCCTTCACCACGTCCCTCTCTTTCTATTTTATTTACATAAGTCCGAATTTTCAAACCAACGAACCATCCCGAAGCTAGGAGAATAAATAATAAATATCATTTGAAAGTAAGATACCGTGACTTCATGGTGTAGTCGGATATCACGGCTTAATAATTACGTCTGCCCAACACGCAGACAATCGCCAGTTCAACTCTAGCTGAAGTCATAATTTTCATCAATACTCCATTTGGGAGTGTTTAGCATACCCAAGATCCAGGAAAAATGATTCGACAGAAGAAAAGTGATACGAAAAGGCAAGAAGTTTCCGGCGGTCTGAAGTTTGATGAGTCAAGTCCCGAAAAGCATGATTTTAACTATCACAAGAAATGTTGGCTCTCCCTTTTTTTTTTTTTGTATGGGTTTATTTCAAAGTGAGTCTAGTTTTTAGTCTCCTCGTCTTGAGCAAGACATTATGGCGCGTTCGTCCAAATGCATTTACATGTATTAAAAAGAGGGAAAAGAAAAGGGGGAAAAAAGGGAGTAAATGTTTAGAGGACAACCAGCCGATGTTCAGGAAAACAAGCCATCGTCTCTTTTTCCTACAATCAACTCTGGGCCATTGATCGAAATATTCAATCTATTTGGCGTAAAATCATTTTGTTGACAACGCTGAAAGCATTTTGCATCAGCCATCTCGCACAGATGACTTGATAAAAAAAAAATTGATCTGCTTCAAGAGCGTGCGTGCACAATTCCCCCGTTCTCACGATGACAGATATATCGATGATGAGAATTATGTGAATAATAAGGTGGTAATGATGGAGATAAGCCAAGAATAATGATGGCTGAAAAAAAAAAATTTTTTTCCTTCAAAAATAATACCCAATGTGCATACACCCGTACACGCGAAACGCGAAAACTATCAATCATCAAAGACGAGACTGCCTTACCTAGTCCATCATCACTTTCCCCTTCCCAGCGACACGATTAGAAAGGGCATACTGTACACCGAGGATGATGTGAATGATGTGGATGGAGCCGAAGATGATATTAGATGAACAGATTGCCAATTCTATCAAAAAATTGGTCCATCTTGACATGATTGGCTAGTCGCTACCTTTTTTTTTTTTTTTTTTTTTTTTTTTTTTTTTTTGGAAATCCCCTAATGTTTACTAGGTATACACTTTGTTAATAAATCGGTGCGGAGCGCCAAAAAAATAATTGAAATTGAACTGCTCTCGCCCCTCGCCCATTGGGCTCACCGAATGCGGTAGATAGCAAATAAACACGACAAACAGACATACTTTGGGTTATTTATTTATTTGTTTTCTTTTATCAATTACATTTATCATTCTTAAAAGATATGCAATAGCCTTGTTGTAGAAAGGAAAAAAAACCCCCCGCAATCACATCAGCAACATATCACCAGCATATTCTCCTTGCTCACAAAATTCACAACTTCAGGAAAATCTAGAATATCTCCAACTCTCTATCACTCACTTCCTCTATCGGTTTCCTCCAAATCTTTTGAGCAATTCTTGCATCGCACGCAATTGTGGACGACCCATGGGCAACAGGATAGGGTTTAGTTTTGGAGAGCCAGGAACGTCGGGATTGTTGTCACCTGGAGGCCTCGGGTGAACAATATTGTATTCTACGAAACTCGCGACGGTCTCTGCGCCAAACTTGCTCTCGGTATCCTGCTTCAAAATGAATCCACCCGGGGACTCGGCAAACAGCCTCATGAGATCAATGATTTGCTCCCGGGAAAATAGCGCTGGAGCTCTTTCGGGATAGAATTTAGAAAGCTGAGTTGGATTCAATGCCATTCCAAGGAGGTCGTATGCCTGCAAGAAGGCCGAGTATTTTTCGTCGTCTAATGGACAGAAACTTTTAGAGATTATAACATTTTATGAAGCCATGACTCTGCAATGACGAGGAACATCTCACAACTAAATACCTTTAAATTCTT